AAATGATCTCCAGCGAGACAATGAAGAGAGATGAGGGATCACGAGAGGAGGGGAGGGGGGGGGGGTTTCGCGGAAAGACCGCAGATGCAAAAATGCATGATCGTGCCGATTCTCTCATGTATACCGCCACTTATTCCATTGACGTTTGATTCGGATACGAAGTGTCGCGCCTGAGCAGGCTGTATGTCTGATTTTGATGCCACTGCTGTCGAGCATAATACTTTTGAAATTTTTAGCTCAGTCTCTTGTTTTACTGAACCTCACACGCTGACAATGGATAACAGCAACAAGCATCAACTGGCGAATGAACGATTAGTGAAAGTGCAGGATACTCGGAAGTACCCATATTTTGACGTGTCAGACTTGCGGATTTCTGACTCCTTCGTTGAGGAAAAATACCGAAATGTATATTTCTGCAAGTGGTACTCAACGACGGCCATACCGTCCTTCGCATACAACTCGTTTTTAAAGAACGGAGACTAACTCAGTTTGACTTTCTAGCAAAGAAAACCACCAGCATAAGAAGGGAACAAATCAGAAGTATGCACACACTTTTGTGAATGAGGCTGGAAACAACTCTCCCCATTTGAGATACTGATAAAAGCAGAATCCAAAAATCCAGAAACCGACAGTGAACAGAACCATGACCAGCCATCATAAAACTTTGAACTACATGAGTAATAGAAATGAAAAGCAAGCAACTGGTCGAACAGACTGCGGGATGTCTTGGAGACACCAGGTTTCTTTATATCGCTATCAGAACGGGATCAAACCGACAGAACAGTTGAAACCCCAGTTCACAAAAAAGTTACGGTTCCTTCTTTGACGCTTCATCCCATTTCTGTCCTCACTGTTTAAAACCACAGCAAGCAGTTCAAGTTCTCAATTCTGATGAGTTTTTTCAAGGAAAAACACAAATAAATGCTTTAATATAAAGCAAAAAAACACTTCTGAAGATAAATGAGACAATCAAGCGACTCCCAGAACAATGCATAAACACCCAAAAACCACCCGCAGAGCTACCGGAAAAAATTCCGCGTTAGTATCCTCCTTCGACTATATCCGAAACAAAGTCCTGACAAAGAAAACACCTTACCCACACTCGAAAGATACAGCACCAACTAGCTGACAAGGAGCCGTTTTGATACCCTTATTTCGCGTACTGCTCAAAAACAATGATGAAGACAGCGTGGACCCCTAACAAGCCAGAAGTGACGGTACAAAAATTCCCACTGAAACGGACTG